TTTTTTTTTTTTTGCACGTACAACTTGTAAGCAGGCGAACGGATTGGAAAGATTTACCCGTACAAGAGCAAAATTTCGTGGTTGAGTTTGGTCAAGCTTTAGCAACAATCGGCTTAGTGTCAGTTGGAATATGGATGTCAACTTTGCTCGCAACATGAACATGCCAGATTTTGTAACTGTTTGTACATATACTATTACAAGTGAAGTTTAGAGTCGCTTGTTAATTCAAAGTGAGTAGCTATTATATATCAAAACAATCAAGAAATTGCTCGATTGTTTGTCGCACTTGTTGTATGATCACTTGTATTGTATTGTATGGCCAGTAATCTATGAAAACTTCACCTAGAATCTGTCCGTAAAGTTCTTGCTAACCACAGAAAAATTGGTCTGTATATTAGGAAATGGTGATTGCTGAAATAACGTCAGGTTAGCTTAATAAGGAAAAAAGAAAAAAATAGAGGGTTCGTTGGAAGAAACAGGTAAGTTTAAAGTATCGATATGCTAACCGGTTATACGATAGTATTCCACTATGAAAGTGTCAAAGTTACAAGGTATCTATCCTTATGTAATGAGGGTTCGTTGGAACTCTTAAGTATTTTTACATGCATTAATTTCATTCATCTATGAGATTTTAAGAAAAATTAGTTTTATACAAATTTTACGGTTTTATTTTTTGTAAATGGAAGACTTATAATAAATAAGTCGCAAAATCATTTTAATGGTGAATAAGAAATTAATTTTAAAGTTGAAATGTGAGGTAATTGTGTTTATGTAACTCCTAATTGAGTTTAAGTAACTCAAATATTATTAGATTTGTAAACGTTCGAGCTTTGATGCATGTTCGGACAATCCAAGAGAGCTAGAATCATGCACTAGGCATGCTAGAAGTCGAATAGGGGTCGCTGGAGACGAGTAGGAAAAAAAAGTTGCAATTTAGAGTTCGGATGAGTGCGTACAAGCTTGCAGTGCTTGAGCGCCCGCTTGGCCCTGCGAGGGCGTGACACCGGTGTTTGCCCATCTGCTTGTGCCGAAAAGGTTCCAACTCAGTTTTGGAAGAAACCCCTATAAGTGTCCAAGTACACCTATAAATATCCATAAACATGAAATGTTCATAAATCAAATTGTAAGAGCTTTTTTGCATTATTACAAAGTTCATAAAGCATATATGTATTTCTATTTTGAGAGTTTCGAAACTTGAGTCTTATTCGCTAAAGCCTTGTGTATTTGAGTTACCACTATACATAAGTCGAAAGTAGTTGTATTTTGAAGCCGTTATCCAAGAAGCATGGGCAATATACGAGTTATTTAGTCTTACTAAGAGCATAACCATACTTGTCTCAGACTTTGATTCCTTTGATCGTTTTTCTCATGATTTCTTAAGCAATTTTATTGACATTCACAAACACTACAAACAACAAAGCCCCCGTTGGATAAAGTTGTGTCTAGTAAAAACCAAAATTTGACTTACTAAAACACGAGTTGAAAAAAAAAAAAATCAATTGTATCTCATTTCAATTTTTTTTTTTTTTATAATCTCACTAATACAGTTAAAAAAAATAAAATTAAAAACCAAACATTATCATTATTTTCGAAAATATTCACTCTTCCCTCACTCACTCACATTTGTATCTACCAATCGCAAAAAATAAATATATATTTTTTAGGTGACAATAGTTGTAGTCATCACATTTGTTTTTTCATACTTATTATTAACAACTAGTACAATACTCGTATACTACACGAAAATTGAGTTAAAAAATATATTATAAATGCTACTGCTTAATAAAAAATTTATTTAAAAGTTTTGATTGACTAATTAATGAAAAAAAAAAAAGAATATACAGTGCAAAAAGTGATTTGTAAATACTAATTCCCAATTTGGGAGAGACACATGGACGAAAATTATAAGATGGTAATATGGCTATTTGTCCAAATTAAGAAGCAAATTTGTACTAAGAGAAAAAAATAACAAAATTAAATGTACACTTACCAAGTTTGAAAAAAAGTTATTTATGTCTATACCAAGCCTAATTCCAAAGGAAATAATTGACACACAACATTCCGAAGTATAAATTTTTGTCATGTCAGCATCCGAAGCGTATGAGTACCACTTAAGCTCAACACATTCTGAATTATTATATAGGGAGGGATTTCAAATCTATTCCATTTTATTCAAAAGGTACAATTCCTCACTTTTTCTTCTATTTTTTTGTACGAGATAATTTTCTTTTTAAAAAACCTTATGGTACGATAAAACTATTACTTGATAAGATCAATCAACAATTGCACCATTATGAGGTCTGAACAAAGGTAATAAAACATCACAAGGAAACAACAAATTCCGAAAATCTTCGAAAAAAATGAAAAGCACTCTTCCAAAACTTAAAAAGGGTGAGGTTGTGATCTGTGAATTGTAAATAAAAGTTTCTTTTCGTGCTTACAAAGGTGAAAATACGTACGACGGCATCAAACTTTAAGAGGATGTTTGAAATTTATAAAAAATATATGGTTCTTCTTGCAATAATACCAAACCTTGAAGAGTTTCCGTACTCATCTCTAAGGACCAAAAAACAACTAATAATTATCTTCATCCCCAACTTTAGAATGTGCATCAGAACAACCTCATAACGAGACCAAAACACAACTCATAATTATCTCCATCCCCAAATTTGGAATGTATCAGAACAACCTCATAACCGACATAACCAAAATGACCCATGAAGCTGACGCATGAGCTAGTGTCAAGAACTTAAAAAGATTTAGCTTCAATTTGCCTGAGAGTTGACAAGACTTAGTGTCTAGCACGAATCTCAACACGAACACTCAACCATATGCAATGCAGGTAAAGCATGACGAGCACCTTAGACAGATATGGCACGAGAAATGGCCAGCCTGGCCCACTCAGCAGATTCTTTAATTAAATGGTCCTCAGAAGACAGGCATTCATTCAAAAAGTCTTTGCTCGACACAGATTGCTGCATTAAGGCAGTAGCATTGCTTCCTAAAGTATCCGCTAGATCCCCAAGAACGCCTACAGCAGTTTTCATCACTAAATCATCCCTGCAACGAGACACGTGAATCAGGCATTAGCATCAGAAACATCCGAACTCTACACATAAAAAGTTTAACAAGATATAGATGTCCACATGCAGTTTTGGATTTCCAAGGAATATATTCATACTCGGGCACAGCTTGTGAGAGAAACATTTATCATTGAAAGACAATTGGAATTACTCGTGAGAAGACTAGACCTAAAGGGCTCTCTGTTTCTTTTCTCTTTTTATAGTTGCTTAATTAACCTAAAAACTATTTCATAAGATCGGTTTATACTCACATGTCTTTTGCAATGTACATCGCGTCCAAGAACTGCAGGATGTGAGGCGCATACGGCATCAGGAGCTGTGTTTTGGGCGAGTTCTTGAACCCCTGAAATATACCGGAGTATGCCTCCAGAATCCCATTCCTGAGGAGATTCGTATACTCGATCATCTCGTCATCGCCTGCCGACGCACGGGCAGACAACTCGGCAGCACTCTGAAGCATGGGCATCGCATACATCAGATACTTCTCGAAATTCTCCCCAATAGCAAGAGCTATATCCCCAAAACATGAGAAGATGGGCGGCTTCACGGACCTGTGCAGCTCATCGCTCGACAAGTCCTTGAGAAGAAGGGTCATAATCCCATCACAGTAGGGCAAGATCTTGTCCTCCAATGCCCTGCACACATCCCCCACAACACCCACAGTTACTGCACACACCTGGTACTCCTCGAAATTCTGCAGACCCATCTCCAGATACTTGTAGAAATCCGGCATGTACTTCTCAAAGGCAGAGCCCGTCAAGTAGGCAAAAGCGCCAATGGCGAGCATGGCTTCCTCATGAACGGTAGCGCTCCTGCACGCAAAGACCCGCAGGAAGAGGCTCATAATCTGGTCGGCATACTGCATTAGGGCATGCTTGGTGGGATCAGAAGCTCCCAGTTTCTGGATGATGACCTGGAGACACCCACAGAGTTGGCCCTGCAGCTCATTCTGCTTCTCCCTCTCATCCGACGAGAGTGTTTGAGCCTCAAGTGTTTTGTGAAGCTCGGCCATGATGACTTGGACAAGCTCCAGCACCAGGCGAGCCGTCTCATCCCCTGAGGAGGACCTGACAACCTCATTCAGCGCCTCATAGGCAGCTGTCTGTAGCCGGGACTCGCCGGCGTCCTCCCTGCGGGTGGCGTCGAGAAGGGACCGGACTATCTCCTGGAAGTAGGGGGTCAGGGGTGAGGGTGACCCCGCATAATCATAGCCTTGGGCCAAGAAATAGAGGGCCCCACAAGACTTCTCGGCCACGTTAGGGGCGGCGTCCTTCATGCTCTGGAGAAGGACGGTGACGATCGGCTGGAGGTTTGCGGCGGTAATGATGGGGTTCTCAGAGGTCGACCCATGAAGGAATTCGAAGATTCTCCCAAGGGTCCACGCGGTCGTGTCCTTCACGTGGCTGCTCGGGTCGTTGGTCAAAGCAGTCAGCATGAAGTTGAGAGCAACATTGACGAGAGGGATTAGTTTGTCGGGGGAGGGGCCTTCCAGTATGGAGCCAAATGCATAAGTGGCTGCCTCTCTCTGCCTCCAGTCGGGTTTCGCTATGTTTTCTTCTATAAATGGCATCACAAGCGGCACAATATCATCCCCGACTGTACGAGCCACCAAGCCAAGGCAGGTTCCACCGGCCATCGCGCGATTCCAAGAACCCTCGTCCTGATCCTGATCTTCCTCTTGCTTGAGAAGTGTCTGCAGTAACAAAGGAACAAGTGCTGGCAGTGCCTGCTTAATGAAATTGAAGAACGGAACATCAGAATCGGCACTCAAATCTCCGTCATACTCCTCCAGAATATCAATCTCCTCGTCGCAGATCGAACTCCAAAACTCGATTGCCTGAAGAGCCACAGGCTCCTCATCATCCAAAAAGGCTTTGGACGTGATGCTGAAGATGTCTTGGATGTATGGTGATAACTTCTCGTAATAAGTCGAGCCGATAGAGACCAGGCACTCAAATGCAGCCTGACGGATTTTGACTTCGGGCGACAGAGTGGCTTCGCAAACAACCCTCATTATGTAATCACGCTCCATATCATTGGAGAAGTTCGCACGGGCAAACCCAAGCGCGTTGTACAAAGCCCGGGTGGCGGCAAGACGCACTTCAGTATTACCCTCGTTAGAATTCATGCCTTGAACCACAGCCGTGAGTATCTTATTCACTTCATCTTGATCAACAACATCTGGTTCAACTTCTTCACACACATACCCCAGTGTCTCAAGGGTGGCTTGCTTGAGATGGGGAGAAACTTGTTGAACATTGGATAAGAGGGTAGCCACTAGCTCAGGCCACTGCTTCTGTGGCATTTCAATGCCGGCAACCTTGGCAATGACTTGCGATGTGGTTGACCTAGCATCCAATGCAGCAGAGGAGAGGGTCAGTAACAAGCTTGCTTTGATCTGGCTCTTCACAGCCGGATCCAATGATAGCCATCTTTGAAAGAGCTCATGTTTTCTGTGCTGCTCCTTGGCATCCAAAGCATTTTTAAGAATCAAGCCTGCTAGTTTACGGCTTTCAACAGGCTTCTCCTCGTTAGCAAGCTCCCCAGAAAGGGACAACAGAAAGGCAGGAAGGTTTTGCTCCTGAAACTGTTTCAGAGTTTCTTCAGCATGCTTCCTTATAGTTGAATCAACCGCTTGTGCACTCAAAAGAACTTGTGTGACTTCCATAGCCATATTTTCCCTGCCAATATCAACATGTAGAGACAATTATATAAACGGGGCACTAAAAATGTAACATCCAGGGTTCAGAAACAAATAATAGAGTAAGGATTCATATATTTGTTTAAATAAAACATATTTCATGGAAAAATAAACATTTCAAGAGAAAGTAACTTAATTTCCAGAAATAACGGCCGGGACAGATACATCACACTTTGAAGTACACAAGATAAAATAAATAAACACCTAAAATATCAGCAAACGCAGTGGCATAAAATAAGAAAACAGTTCTCTGAAACACCAATGAACTGGTGTTACATTCATGATAAAGCATTTTCAAAGACCATTAAAGGCATAAACAAGAATGCAAATTTGTAGCAAAGGCAAGAGGAACAGGAAATAATAACTATCCAAGGCATTTTGCATATACAACAAACAAAAAAGGGAACTAAATTCGTCTCAAATGTTGACAAACTAACGTGTGCATTATTTTACATAGCACTTGGAAAAAGTCAATACTAAGAACCAAATAAAAAGTAGCAGAGTCAGATTATAAACTTTATAAAAAGCCCACATCTTGAATTATCAAATAAGGACTCAAATCATGGTCATGGGACACTCCACTGGAACAAGTTATAGGATTACAGGGCCATAAAAGATTATCAACTACATAACAACATTCTAGAATTAATCCAAATAACAAAAACATACAATCAACTAAAACAAGCACAAGCGAACCCTAGAAACTGTTAGACCCGCTGATAAACTGTACAGACTTCAAAGACAAAATTCAATCATTCTAACTCTAGAAACGGACACTAACATGAACATTTACAGAATTCGAAATCGAGACCACCTAGTAATCAATTTTTCCGCACAAAGTATTAGCTAATTCATAAATCAATAAAATAATTAGATCAAAGAGTTCCTTCGTTAGATCTTCCCAAAATCGGCGCAAAACGAAAATACCTGGTGAGGAAGTTTGTCGAGTAGTGAAGGAGATGTTCACCTCTGAAGTCTGAACTCGGATGACTCCGAAATCGGCGAAAGAAAAACCCTAGGCAGAGAGAGAAAGTCTAGAGAGAGAAAGGAAGAGCGGGTGCAGACTCTATGGAGCTGTATTTGAATTTTGAAATGTGAAAAATCTCAAATATATTTGCAATAGTGATTTTTCTTATGATCCGAGTCCGACACCCGCTCTCATATTATCTCGCCGGATACAATTCGGTGTGGGGCAACACGTTAATATTGATTTTGTAGGGCCCAATCATCTCCTTTCACGTGGAGCTGTCAAAACGGGCCGACAGAGTGGGCCGCCAAAGCTTGCCTATTGGCGGGGCGGGGTGGGCTGGTCTGCTATCCTGGTGGGCTATCTGTCTCGGGCCACGAGTTTGGTGGGCTAGGTCCGCCATATTAAAGAAAAAACTATTAATATATAATAAAGATTAATATAATTTACTTTTAGAAATATTTTTCCGCCAATTTCATTAATTATTGCTTAAAAATAGTAAATTAACAGAATCTCTATTTATTAGCATATCTTTTTTATCTATATTTTTTAAAAAAAATACAATCAAAAATATAGAATCAAAATCAAAATAAATCTAGAAAATACACTTACCATACTTAATACACTTAATTTAAGAAATACACTTACCATACGTATTTTTTTAAAAAAAAATTAAAATACAATATAAAACATTTAATTAATAATGGTCACTTTTAAGAATCAATCATATTTCTAATAATTGTTAGAAATAATTTTTATATGTCTTTATTAGTATTCACGTGAAAGTAACATATATGTTAATCCTATACAATAAGGATTAACAAAAATCAAATTTAGAAACAATTTCCCGCCAATTTCATTAATTAAAATAGTAAATCAGTTTTTTTTTTCCTTTTTTTATAAATAACATCAAATACTTTTATATTGGTAACCAATAAGGAATCAAAATACGAATAAATCTACGATTTTTTTCAAACAATTTGAAAATCCGAATGTGAATCTGAATAAATCATGATTTTAGAAATCGTAATTTCCAAACAATTTAGAAATTTGAATAAATCTCGAAGAAAAATCATGATTTGTATATATCATGATTTTAGAAATTTGTTCAAAATTTTCTTTGCATGAATCTGAATCATAATTCATTCAGCCTATTATTATATTATTAAATTATTTAAAACTGCATGCTAAGATTTGTATATATCATATTTCTAAAATCATGATTTGTATATATATCATCTTTTCACCAATTAGACTTTTTTCATCATTATCGATTTGAAAAGGAAAACAAATTTTATATACCTTATCGATTTTGATAATACAATGTTATAATCATTATCATTATTTATTTTAAAAGATAGTGTTTGTAATTTATTTGATTTCAAAAGATGAAAAAATTTTCATAGTTTAGGTATGCATTTACACAAATTAATTTTAAAAATCTAATAACAATTGACAATAAAATTTGTTATAAATTGATTCAAACCAATTAATTAATAAAAGAGTCCATCAATCACCTAATTAAAAAATAACACACAATCACTACATTTCAAAGACTAAGTTTTTTAGATAAACATTCATTTATATTGTCATGACGATAAACAAGAGTGAGTGTCAATCTTAAAAATTTGATGATTTCAACTGCTATATTTCTAATGGTTTTTTACCGTAGGAATTTCCGTTGGAATATGAAAATTCCGTTGGAATTTTTATTTCCACTCCGTTGAAAAATCCACCATCAGAATCGTCAAAATTCAACGGAAATTCCAATGGAAAATTCATTTCAACGGATTTTTTTTGTTGGAATTTCCGTTGGAATCATTGAAAATTTCCAACGGGAATAATAGTATTGAAATATCCGTTGGAATTGTCTTTGGAATAATTTCTTTTGGAATAGATTTCCATTGGAATTTTATCATTTTATTGTAGTGTGTCAAATAATCAAACTAATAATGTTGTTTACAATTAGGTTTTTAATAACATATGATTTTTTCATACCCGAACATTTTATGAGCATTTTCTGCCCAATACATTAATTACCTACTATAGATAGAGATAATAAAAAATGATATAAATAAAAAATAAATCATTAAATGCATAATTTTCATATAACTCGATTTTCGGTTTGTGTTTGTTTTAGTAAATTCTTGGTTTTCTTTAATTACGTTGATAGTGGTTTTGTAGGCAAAGATTATGTAAATAATTATATGTAGCCGATTTTGGAACTCTTATTTATCAAGGATTCTTTTTTTATTGTAGCAGATTTATTAGAATCATTGATTAATTGGATTAGCATATGTTGATAAACGGATTTGATCAACCTTTTAAATATAAATCTTCGGGAATAATGCGAAAATGAAGTGATTTTATTAGTTAAACGAGATATATTTTAGAACAGGTTCAAGTCGGTATTTCGGACTTGAAGTCGGGTTTTTAATAGTACAATAGGTCCGTTGTGAGTGATGAGACGAGGTGATTAATGTAGAATTCAATGTGCTGAAAAAGATCTTCGTATCGTGTTTAATTCTGCTATTTATAGTAACTGTGGGCTCGTCTTTTGAGAAGATACGGCTGCATTTAATGCGGTGTGACAGAGCGCAGGCTTTTTCGGCAGCTGGACCCTTTAGCAATGATGTTCTCACGTGGCTCTTGTGTTAGGTTCGATATACCGTACGGAACAGAGTTTACAGCGGAATTTAAAATTT